ATAATTTATTTTGCCTTTCTTAAAAGAATTGATTGGTGCTTTATTGATCTCCCTAGTTTCTGGAAAGGTGAAAATTGTGGGGAAAAAATGTTCTTTGTTGTACATATCTGAGGACAACCGTTCACCTTCCCCTTTCTTTCTGTCACGCTACCTTGTTGATTAAAACAGGATAACTGTTATTGACATTTTAACAAGTGCCCTGGAAAATGAATTTCTACTGGTTATTTCCTGTGTTAGGACTTATAACACAGTGTGAGATTTTTCTAGCTTCCTACCTGCCAGAATGCACTGAAATATGAGAGTGTTTGATATCGTCAAAGAATCTGAGCAGCTTGGAGCCATTTCCCCCCAGGTGTTCAGCCGTGGCGTCAGCTGTGTGTGCCTGGCGCATCATCTGGGAAGGGCGGGGTCACGCTCTCCTTGGAGAGTCCTGCACCATTGCGGCCCCTCTCTTCCTTGGGAAACGGTGTGTCCACAGGCACTGTTGACGGTTTGCAGCAGTTACGGGTTGTGAACCTCACAGGAGCGGGTCAGCTCTCCTATTTGCAGAGTTATCCACCTTGGGAAAGGAGCAGCTGCCTGTTCCTTTGCTGAGAAGAGACTGTCATATGTGGTGTGATTTTCAGGGTGGCCCTAAATCTTTTAAAATGGGATGAGTGGATGGCTGGGCAGGTTGTAGATGGATAGAAGTAATAATTTCTAAACCTTTCTTTCTGAATATGTTTCAGTAAATCTTGATTTTAGCTCTGTTGGAACCATTGATTAAATACTCCCATTTTCCAGCCTGAGATCAGAAGCTGGAAAGTCTCCTTAGGTGATCTCCTTAAGTTGACAACCTTTTGTTATATTAAGTCAAAAGCGATCCTCCTCCCTCTCAGGCCCGTGTCTGTGCGCACCAGTCCGCAGCACGGCAGAGGCGGGAGAACGCAGCCTCGGCAGCACGGCTTGGGGGCCGGGCCCGCTGGGTGCAGGGCGCTCCGTCCGCTCGCTGCCCGGCTGTCTCAGAGCAGGCCCTGGATCCTCCGCACGCCAGAGTCCTCACCAGTGACCAGGCGGTGGTGAGGGTGTCGCCGGGCGAGGCCCTGTCAGGCTCCAGTGAGGTGATAGTTGTCGAGCATGTAGAATAGCACCCAGCACGTAGTAAGCACGAAGTTTTAACAAGGTTCTCAACTGAGACCATTCAGTCATCAGCAGTTTCACTGTTGCTAATAATGAAGTAAAAATATTGGCACTTCCTTTTTAATTGGAGAAAGTTGAAGTTTATTGCCACAGTAAATTTTGGTGTATCTTTGATGCGTATTCCTTGTATAGTTCATTGCTGATTTCTCAGGCCGCTCCAGTGTGACGTACCTAAAACTGCCTCCGGCCCAAGCGCTGCCCTGAGTGTGTCCTGCGGCTTGACTTGGCTCTCACGACAGCACGAGGAACGAGGCCGAACAGTGCCCCATCGTGTAGGGGAGGAGGCGGGCTGGCCTGGGGCAGGGGGGCCTCCCCGGTCACACAGCCAGGAAGTGGTGACACGTGGAGGCGCTCCCCAGGAGCCTGACTCCAGGCCCCCGCTCAGTGCCGCATACGGCCTTCTGCCTGGGACATGCAGACAGTCTTGGGAGGTTCCCTGCTTGCTTTTTCCTTGCCTGCTCAGTACTAGTGGAATACTCATAGAAGGATGCATCAGCCGTTGGTGAGGGAAGATCATGAAAAGCAAAGTGGCATTGCTAGTGATAACTGCTCTCTGAGTACGAGAGGGAGTGTTTCGTGATCCGTGTTCTGTGCCTGTAAGTATAGCGGCGCGTCTTTATGCCGCCCGCCCTGCTTCAGAGGGGCCGTGAGGGGAGATGGCTTGGTCCCCGCAAAGCACTCCGCGCAGCCCGGCACACAGTGAGCGCTCAGCAAGTGCCAGCTGCGGTCGCTGTTCCCCTCGTCACTGCGGGGCTCTTCCCGAGTCTCACCTGGTTCCTGAGTTTTCAGAGGTGAGTGACAGCCTCAGTCCTTAGCTGGTTCCTGCTGGAGCCAAACCGTGCCTCTCGGCTAGCCTCCTCTGAGCCTGACGATGTCACTTGTAGCCAGATCTTCTTGCCCAGCCTTCCCCCAGTCGCTGGAGAAGTTTTATGAGCCCTGCTTAGTCTAGAAACTCGGTGTTGGTTTTTCCTGAGAGATAAGTTCTACAGTGAATTTTCCTGGTACAGATTGGGAACATCCACACAGTGATTCAGCCTCAATGGTGATCTGTTCTAGAAAGACAGTTTGACACTCACCCAGCACAGCGATGATGCAGTTTCAAATGTGTAAGATTTCTTCCCCATGCCCCCCCCGCTTTTTAGAGGTCTGGATTTTATTAATGACTTAATGAATAGAAAAAGAGGTCTTTCAAAATTTGTTTACTCTCCTAGAACGTATGCTGTGACTACTTGAGGGTAACTGAATTTCCTACATACATATTCAAGTTAAAATCACAGTTTCCCGACTTTGAAAAACAGTTTTCTTGGAAATAAAATGTCTAGACAGACTTTGAAACTTAAAAACTGCTGCTTTGCCTCAGGTATTTTTGCTTGAAAACTGATACTTTCATGAAGATTCGATTTTTTAAAACTTACACAAGATGAATGCCGTTTTATTAGTCTTTTAGTCCTTGTGAAAATGATGCAATTTTAGTTTTTAGAGAAAGTAAAACTTTTTTCCCATAAGTGAAAAGTAATTTTTATGACTTTAATCTCCACTTTTGTACTGTTTGTTTAAATCTCTTGTCTAATTCAATGGCAGAATCCTGAAAGTGTCTCCCTTCCCACTTTTTTTTGTCATCATCAGTCTGCTAAAGACCTTACACAGTCGTTATTCCGAGAACAAATGTTTTGCAGGAATTTTCACAGTGCTTGCTTATCAGTGTTTTTTTTTTAAGGGTGGTCTAGTGAGTTAAAATGGCCAGATGCCAAGGATAATAGTGATAAGTGCTTTTGGAGTTTAATTAAGAGGCCACCTAATTTGTGAATTTGAATCAGAACTCTTAGGACTTTGAGGTGTAGTTGTGGACATATAATTTAGGACTATCCTGACTCCTTAGTTACAAAGCTATGATGGCAATTAAATAAATTTGTGAATAAGAAGTTAAAAGAGAATATTGTTTAACTTGTAACTGTTATGAAAATAACTACTGTTTATTTGATGGATGATGTTGATATAAATAATAATAATAATATACTAAGGTCTTTCTCTGCTCCAGACCCTGGGCTAAGTCCTTATTATGCTGCTCCTTTTTATCTCCTTTTTTATGGTAAAGGAAAAACAGTTTTGCTGAAATCAGCAGCTAGTAAATTGTGGAAGTAGGCTACAGATCTTAGGCTGTCTGACTCCCAGCCCAGATTGTGAACCTCTTATTTCTACAATTTCTGCACTAGCACAGTCTGTCCTACAAGCTGGGCTGCCTTATACAGTGTTTTCAGTGGGTTAACTCACAACATGACTCTATGAGGAGATAAGACATGCATTAGCTCCATTTTACAGATGGGGAGACTGGTGCTCAGGAAGAATAAAAGAGTGTTCCAGGGTTTCAAAATTGGCATAACTGTTATCCTTCTGTACATACTAAACACAAGGTTTTTTTAATGTGCTATTTTCATGCTATTTAGAGACTGTAAAATGTTTGAAATTTCATTAGGGATCTTTATCGTATTACTTCAGCTTGCTATGTGTACTGTGTGGGCCTGTGATGGCTCAGAATCCCTAAATGACTTTTTTCTCTTTCTTCAAAAAAAATTTTTAGCAGTACCACTGCAAAATACCAGTGTAAAATGTCATAAAACAGGTTATTCCAGCCAAGAATCTGAGGTGAGGACAGATTTAAGTTGTTCAGTCACATTAAAAGCAAATCAGTGTTGGGAATGCTGGCAGCTGTTCAGAAAAGATGTCTCTGTAGCACATTAAAAAAATGTTGTGCCCTAGTAAGGCTGCCCAAGGCTTCCCTGGTGGCTGAAGCAGTAAGGAGGCCACCTGCAATGCGGGAGACCTGGGTTCGGTCCCTCAGTTGGGAAGATCCCCTATAGTCCGTGGGATCACAGAGTCAGACAGGGCTGAGCCACTTTCACTTTCAAGGTTGATCAAGAACCTCGGCATATTCATATCTGTGGTCACATTAAAAAAGAAAGAGTAAATGTGTCTATACAGTAAGTGTGCCTTGCTTATCTTTTCCAAAGATTTTATTAATCCATTTTATTATAAACATTTCCTGGTTTAGAAAACATAAAATTTTAAATAGTTATAATTTTAAATGTTCAAGGACTTAAAGCATTCAAGGCATTGTTACTTGAATTGGTTGCAAGAAATTTTACTGCAGGAAAGTGTATGCTGATCACTGTAGCTGACTTGTCATTTTTAGTGTTTTCCTTTTTGCCTGCACAAGAAGAATAGCTTCTGTAATGTGAATTTAAATGATACATCAAGCTAATAAATGTGGCTGGCTTAGCAAGTGATAAGCATAACTAATTCAATTTAAATGTCTCATATAAAAATCATGAACCAATACATTAAAAATTAAAAATGTTAATGTAATTAACAAAAATTAGTATTCAGTGAAGAAGCATATTTCAGTTTTAAGATGGATGATACATCATTCACTGACCAGATAAGGACCAAATTCAGGTATACTTTATTCAGCTGATGGATTTATTAAAAGTAAATTAAAATGAAATGCTTTATTTGAAGAAACTTTGACAAACCGGCATATAACATGTGGACAAAAGATAGCCCGTGTCCTTAGGAACCGTGGAGGGAACGGAGGCTTGAGTGACTTGCCAAGGACTCTCAGAACGTCATCTGAGTGCCTGGGCAAGGCGGTGCCGCCGAGGAGTGGGCAGGCTCAGCACCCAGCCTGCGTGGGAGTGGGGGGCTTGAAGTCACTCTCAGATACAGGAGCATCTGTGGCTGGGGACGGGGTGCCGAGGCTGTGCAGTGGGGCCAGAACCCGCTCTCAGCGTCCCTGTGGTGTCTTGCTGTCTGCCCGCTCGCAGGTGGACGGCAAGCACTCCGGCGAGGCCGCCTTGATCCTGCACAGGAAGGGGTTCGACTGCCGCTTCTCTAGCGGAGCCGCCGGGCTGCTGTGTTCCACCACCCGGGGAAAGGTGAGCCGAAAGCTTGTCTCCCCTGCTGACGTAGCTTTGAAATCCTTGCTTTCTGCAGGTAATCCTGACAAGGAGATGTTTCATTGCCTTTCCGCGGACTCCTTCCCCTCAGCTTCAAGTTCGTTCAAGTTTTCCCTTCTTAAGGAAGCCCCGTCCCAGTGTTCAGTCTTTTCTCCTTGTCGATATCAGACTGCGCCGGCAGACAGGTGCATGTCTGAAGACAGGGCCTCACCGGTTCTTAGGCCTTCCGTTTCCAGCCCGCGAAGCGGCTTCTTCCCTCCCGCTCTCCCCCCGCCTCTCTCAGATGGCTCGGGTTTGATCCAGTTCAGTGACGGCAAACCCAGGCCCTGCGGGAGCCAAGTGACCGCGTGGGGGCTTCCCCGTGGCTCAGACGGTAACGAGTCCGCCTGCAGTGCGGGAGGCCGGCTTTGCTCCCTGGGTCGGGAGGGCCCCTGGAGAAGAAGCTGGCAGCCCGCGCCAGTGTTCTTGCCTGGAGAATCCCCTGGACAGAGGAGCCTGGTGGGCTGCTGTCCGTGGGGTCGCCGAGTCAGACAGTGTGGGTGCAGGCTTGCAGTAGGGGCGGCGGGGCCGTGAGGCCGCCCGGCGGGGTGGCTCGGCCCCGGGCCGTTGTCCGCACCGCGCAGGCCGGCGGGTCCTCAGGCTGCCCGCTGACCGCCGGCTGCCCCTCTGGCGTCTCTCAAGCTGGCCCTGCCGCTGGTCCCGTCAGCCTCTCTCGGAGGGGAGGGCGCCTCCAGCCCCAGGCCTCTGGCTCCGGCAGGCCGCGGCCGTCTGCAGCACACCCGTGGCCCCCACACCAAGCCAGCTAGCCGACCCACTCTTAGGACCTCGCAGGCCTGGCGTCGGACGGACTCCAGGGGCGCCGTTCTCTCCTGCAGTTAGCATGTGCGCAGCACAGGCTCCAGAAAGGGGAAGATGAACGGCGGCGGGGGGGCTGAAGCTGCTCGGGGCGGCACGCGTCCGTTCCTCTCGCCCCCCGCCGCATGTCACGGTGCTCAGGGGGGCACTGATGGCTCTGTTGCTTGTCCCACCGTGCCTACTCTTTCCCTTCTCAGTGGTGGTCTGAGACACTTGGGTGTGAACGTGTGTACTCAGACACTAAGGCATTGAGTCCTACGGGGGTTATACGATCCAGAGAGACATACTAGAAGAACCTGCAAGAGTGAGCATAGTATTTTCCAAACAGCCTTCCTACCCTGTAAACGACTCACTTGTATGAGGGCCTTCCTGGGGGGCCTGGGGCCTGTCCCCCCGCCTTTCTGACTCAGGGAGGATGGTGGAGAAGCCCCGCTGTTGGGGTGAGTACTGACTGAACGAGGGTGTGGATGCGTTTAAAGCTCTTGGACTGTGGAGTCCTTTCTTTCATTGAGAAAGGCCCTTGCACATGATACGTTGTGAAGCAGCTAAAAAGGGATCCAGAAGACAGCGTTCTGTTACTGGGCTCCAGTCTCCCTTCAGAGTTAGTCTCCATGCTCAAGTGTGTGGAGGCGGACTAATCTCCCCCTTCCGCTGCTTTTGCGCTAAAAGAGAACTTCAAACATACTTTTCATGTTTTCTCACACTGAATATGTAGATGCACTGCTTATCTTTCTTCAAAGTTATTCTAAATATGTAATTTTTTTTATCATTTACCTTTTAGATATTGGTCCAGAAACTTTTTAGCAAGTTCACTGTTGTAAGTATCATACCTTCGTCATTATCCTTGATGCATTCTCCTCTAGACGCCCGAAATATAAGTGAAATCAACTTGAGTCCCATGGAAATCAGCACATTCCGAATCCACTTGAGGTGAACCTGGCTTTCAGATTTGGATTGGGAAGCATTGGCTTTGATATACTTCTTGGTTTTACGTGCAATAGAGAAGCACATTATTTTAGCTTCTGGCTACTGTGAGGACATGAATTCTGTGATTCTTTTTCTTAAACCAGTACAGTAGGAGAGAAGAAAAGCCATGCTACAAACTAGTTTTAAGTTCCTTCCATGAACTACTATCATCAGTATGAATTGATGCAACAAACGAAGAAATGTCTAAAGACAGCCTCTCAACAGATTGTATCTCAGGTTAAATGTTAACTAATTATATCTGTGTTGGGGGTTGTGAAGAGATTGTTCTAAGTATTCATGTTGCTGACCCTTTGTTAGTTTTACAAAAATACCCATTTTTACCAAAATTGAATAAAAAGCTGGTGGGTAATAGCTAATGGCCAAAATGGTTGCAATCATTCATACATGTTAGAAGATCTTTATGTGTTGAAATATGTGGAAAAGTGCAATCCATCAATCCTGATAATATATATCGTTGCTTTTACATGTTTTTCTACCACTTGACCCCTCCCTTCCTACCCTTTGTAAGTATTTCCAGAAATACCAGATTTTGAATCATTCAGTAGTAGACAAAGAGGCATATTTTCATTACTTGACAATGTGGGATAGGTGCAATTTATTCCATTGTCACTAAACTAGGAGAAGCAATTCTATAGGTACCATGACCTCTTTTAGGTACCACAAGGTGTCTTTTTACACAGCTCATTTGAATACAGATGTTCTGAGAGGGGTTTTCTATTTTAAAATTACCATATCAGAATAAATGTGCCTTATTTTTTTTATAAGTCTTGTTAAATCTTTTGGTGTCCGTATTGCTGTTGGGGGAGGTGCGGGGTGTCTGGGGGGAGGGGCGAGTACTTTCTATGACGCGTGAATTGCATAATTTTTGCCTGACAATGCTGGCCACGTTCTGATCTGTTTCATTAAATTTGTGGTGATGTTACTCTAAACATTTTGACTATTTGAATGTACTGAGATGTCAGAAAACAAAACAAGGAAGAAAATATTGTTAATTAAAATATGCTGCTGCCAAGGAGACTGCAACTTGAAGCAAGGATTTTGTAACAAGCAGAATCCACATACTGTTTTCATTTCACAAGAGTTCACCATTTTGAAGAGAGAATGCTTTAAAATAGACCGTTTTGAAACCCACTTATATGTAACTCATCATAATTTACCATATTGAAAAATACGTTTGTTCAGTGAATTTCAAACTTTTGTATATGCTAACCTCAAAGTGAAGTTCTAAACCTACGTGCCATTACAATACTTTTGATAAAATTTATTTGGGATCATTGTTAACTTGACATTAAAATAAAACCAACATTTAGAGCATTCCATTTTAGTATAGAAAGGATTCTTGACTAGGTGCACTGCTGAAAATTCTCTGCGTTAACTAATACGTTTAGTATTATCTGACTTAAAACTTCCATTTTACCTCCTACCATTCCAACATCTTCATATAGAAATAAAACATCATTTCTGTTTTATCGTGTAGCCTGGTTATCATCTGTATTTTCAGTCAAGATGCAGCTCCTTAGATTATTGTTCCATTAAGTTCATAAACTTCTTTCGCCTTTAATTATTAAGGAAATAATACTAGTGTTGATGAAGATATTACAAGAGAGTAATTTCTTGCAATAAACATGTACTGTAAGTTTCCTTCCTTGTTTTGGGGGGATAAACAACTAAAACAAAAAACAAACTTACTTTCTGTGAACATCTACAGACATTAGGATTGCCAGACACAAATCCCAGGAATAAGATAAGTATTTTCATTGCATATTAAGTGTAAAACCTTCCTAAAGGAGTTCACTGTGTTCTTTGGTTCAAGTGGTTGTACTTAATTGTTCTGGAATCTCTGATCAATTGAAATAAAAAGTCTTGATGCAATAGCAGTGGTTCTGCCCCTCCTGGTTGTTTGCGATGGAGCTGTCCTGTGTTCCGTCGGGGTCTTACTCAGTGTGTGTTGTCACCAGCTGCTAACAGGTAAAGCAGAAATTCTCTTTCACCAGCAAATTTCTGCTTTTTATTTTTAGAATAAATCATCAGGGAAATGAAGAGAGGATGCTTTTGCTTTGGGTTGTGGTCAAGAACTGATTAAATAATTTAGTGTCCCTGGCACACACTAAAAATCATACACTTCAGTTGTGATCTCAGTGGCATATTTGTTTGCTTAGGTTTTATTACATTCATTATCGCAGATGTTCAGTTGACCAAGTAGTTAAGTAGTTCATTACTTTCTCTCTTTTTTTTTGAAAATTTAATTTGGGGTTATAACTGCAGTGTTTGAGAACTCAGCATCCTTGTTTTCTGCAAATACTGATTAAAACAAAATGCTGTAAAATGTGTTGTAAAACATTGTAATTACCTTCCCATGTCTTTGTTGTATTTGTGCTGAAACGTTTTCACATTCCTTTGTATGGAAGAAAATTTTTGCTTTCATTTTGATTATGTTGCTTTCCTTGAAATCAATAGGTTTTGATATTTTCTCTTGGAAGATTTTATATCTTTTTGGGAATATGTAATATAAGATATCTAATAAAAGATAAATCTTACCATGTGCGTGGTCCTCTAGAGTAGTTCTTAAATCTTATTTTGTAAACAAGATATATTAAATGTTTTGGTGGGTTGAGTAGAGGAGGGGCTTGTTTTGTCTTCTGTCATGAGTGAATTGCTCCTCCTTCAGTCCATTTCTGTTGGGTTGGCCAAAAAGTTTATTCAGTGTTTTCCTCTAAGATAGATGTTTCTAGTAGCACTTTATCTTCATCTAGTTGTCTTTATCTTCAAAACAATTTTGTTACACTGTGTTGTGACTACTGTCATATCAACATGTATTTAAAAAAAAATCAGTTGGTGAATTGATGTGTAGCCATTTTAGTAATGCAGATGGAAGAAAAAGCAACATTTTTGGCATATTATGCTTTATTCAAGAAAGGTAAAAATGCAACTGAAACACACACACAAAATGTCTATGCAGTGAATGAAGAAGGTGTTGTGACTGAGCCAACTTTTCAAAAGTGGTTTGCGAAGTTTCATGCTGGATGTTTCTTGCTGGACAATATTCCACAGTCATGTACACCAGTTGAAGTTGATAGCAATCAAATGGAGACATTGAGAACAATCAGCGTATACCACAGGGAGATAGCTGCCACACTCAAAATACCCAAATCAAGCACTGAAAATCACTTGTGCCAGCTCGGTTATGTTAATCCCTATGATGTTTGAGTTCCACATAAGTTAAGAAAAAAACCTTCTTGACCATATTTTCATGTACAGTTCTCTAATGAAAGGTAATAAAAATGTTCTGTTTTTTAAAACAAATCATATTGGGTGATGAAAAATAGATACTGTACAGTGATGTGGAAGGGAAGAGATTGTGAGGCAAGCAAAATGAACCACCACCAGTCACACCAAAGAAGGTGACATTTTCTCTATGGTGGGATTGGAAGGGAGTCCTCTCTATGAGCTCTTGCTGGAAAATGATTAATTCCAACAAGTACCGCTCTCAGTTAGATCAACTGAAAGCAGCGCTCAAGGAAAAGCATCCGGGATTAGTCAACAGAAAATGCATCATCTCCCCCAGGATTGCACAAGGCCACGTGTTACTTTGATGACCAGGCAAAAACTGTTACAGCTTGGCTGGGAAGTTCTGATTCATCCAGGTATTTCTCCAGACCTTTGGATTTCCATTTATTTTCATCTTTACAGAATTCTCTTAATGGAAAAAAATTTTCAGTTCCCTGGAAGACTATAAACACACTTGAAACAGTTCTTTGCTCAAAAAGATTAAAAGTTTGGGGAAGATGAGATTATGAAGTTGCCTGGAAAATGGCAGAACGTAGTAGGAAAAAAATGGTGAATACATTGTTCAATAAAGTTCTTGGTGAAAACGAAAAATGTGTCTTTTATTCTTATTTTAAAGCCGAAGGAAATTTTTGGCCAACCCAACAGCAGGCAATTGGCAGGCAGGGGTGGTAGTGAATTTCACGTCTGGGTTTGGATCAGCTTTGAGGTTGGGGTTCAGGAGCCTTTCCAGGAACACTGTGCCTGTGGGACCTTCTGAGCCAGTAAGGAGGGGGGGATTGTGGTCACATCCATGTATTCCAGGATAAGATGAGAGTACGCCAAGATGTGAAGCAGAAGGTCTGTGAGCGGATGCGGAAGGTAAGGCGTGTTGGAAGGGTGGTAGTCTGAAGACACCCTCCAGTCTGTCAGCCCAGGCCAACACGCAGCTTAGTGGCTTTAGGGGAATTTCCTCAAAGCCAGGAGGTGGGGGAGGGAGAGGGATACATATTCACATATGTGTTAGCCAGGCAAAGAATACACGCTAACTAGGAAATTTATACTTGTTTGGGGTGACTTACAAACTGGAGAGACTAATCGGTTTGTAATATATATACACTGAGCTGTAAAACCCTAGATAAATACTAATAAAAATGCTAATTTCATCATCAGATGATGAAAAAAATTTGGCCCCATGTTATTTGATTATCAACATGCCAAAATTGAAAGTTAAAACAGGTAAAGAAAAATTTAGTTTAGATGGGCATGTGCTGACATTCCTCCTACAAAGCTGTGATGTGAAACCAACTAAGGGTGTGACTGTAAATGGCTGCAGGAGTGGCCTAGTGGATGAGGCTCCTTCAGTGTACATCAGCTTGAGCAAAAATAAGTGACTTATTGCTCCCAGTAACAAAAGTCAAGGGGAGATAGAACTTCAAATACCGCTGGAAGCAACGATAGGGTGATGTCATCCAGGATGTGGTTTTCCCTCTTACCTTGCTTTCCTCTGAGTTGGTCTCGTCTCAGGCAAGGACCGCGCATGTAATGGCAAGATGGCTTCCAGCAGAGCCAGACCTGCACCCAGCCGGCCTCGTGACCCCACTGGTAAGAGCACCTTCATTCGGATTGTCAGCAAATGTGCCAGAGTCGACAGTACTGGTGGTCATCTTGCTTACATCCTAATGACGATGACTAGCGGTAGAGTTAGGTTCAACTGAATCACGTGGACGAAACACATGAGAAATAGACCTCCCCTTACCCCCTACCCCATCCAAACAACCAGAGGAAAGGGAGTTGGATACTAGGGTACTTTGGATACTAAGTAAGCAAAATACAGTAAGAAATACATCGCTGAGAAGAAACAAATGTGAAGATTTTAAGGAAGCAGAAAGCGCACTTAGCTTTAATTTCAGGAAAGGTTCCATACAAGAGATAGGCTTGAAATAGTTCCTTAAAGATACATTTGACTTCAGCAGGTAGAAAGAATATGCATGTTCTCTGTAAAAACCAGAATAAGGGAAGACATGGTAGCAGCAAGGCTGAAGAACTAGACAGAGTTCCTTCTGTTCGGGGCAGCGCTCTCCAATAAAACATTTCTGTGATAATGGCAGGGTTCTTTCTACGTGTGCCGTCCAGTATGGTGGCCACTAGCCACGTGCGGTCCACCAACATTTAGATGTGCTGCATGCAACTAAGGAACTGAACACCTCATTCTAGTTGAATAGCAGCGTGTGTCTACAGTATTAACAGTGGTCTGGAGCACGTGGTATATATAAGAGACCAGGAGGGAAACAACTAAAAATCCACGCTGTTTGCATTTTTCGTGGATTGGGCACCTTGGGCTACAATCCTGCCACACAGTGTGGCCTTCAAACCAGGAGCATGGCCATCACCTGGGAGCTTGTTAGGGATGCAGAGTCTCAGGCCCACCCCCAGACCTGCTGAATCACCACCTACGTGTTGGCAAGACCCCTCCCCAGAGGATTAACATGCATGCTAAAGCACTGGCCTGGAACATTTTTCAAGAAGGAAAGTCTTTCACGCCTGTCAGAAGGTCTGTTATCAAAAAGGCAAGAAATAAGTGTTGGCAAGGATGTGGCGAGAAGGGAAGCTCCATACGCTGTTCCTGCTGTTCTCTGCCCTTGTCCCTCGTGCCCCAGCGTTTCTGCTCTCACGCCTTCCTGTACTAGGCTCCTTGCTATTCTGCTCCAGTTCATTGTCACTTTCTCGAGAATCCCCTGGACCAGCCCGTTTATACTAGTCCTACCCCTACTTCCTCACTGAGTGTTTTATTACCCCGCTTCTTTTCTTCTTAACAGAGCCAAGTGTGAAATGTCAGTTTGCCTTCCCCAGTGGAATGTAAGCGCTACTGAGGGCAGGGACCCCAGCTGTCTGTTCACTTTGTATTTCCACACTTGGAACAGCAGGCATCCAGAAAACATGTGTTCAATAAATTGATGAAAATGTTTATCACCATTGAATATTGAGAGACAATTGCAATTTTCAGAATAGAAGGCTGAGAAGTCCCTTACATGTCAATAGTATTGAACAATATTTGTTCATGGTATTTTCCCGCTCAGAAAACGCTCAATAAATTCCCACTACCCGAAATTAAAGCATAAATGTTTCGAGCTGCATTCCTAATTTCCCTCAAGGAGGTGACCTCCTTATGGAAGATATTATACTTGCTTCACAGCCAGCCACTGGCCCTCTAGCTTCTTTGCTGATAAAGTCCTGATTTTATTCACATGTCGGATAGTCATGAGCCTCAGGAGGTAGATTGTAACTGGTCTAAATCAGTCACGATTTTTTCTATAGCCTTGATGGCTGATGTAAGAATTAGCTGTGACAGTTTTAGCCAGTGAACTGTCGGGCGGAGTCAGCTGGGGACTTCTGGGGGAGGATCGCTCCGTCTTCAACAGGGGAGAGCACCTCCTCCTCGCGCAGCCACGTTCCAGGGCGGCTTTGCGTGGTGTTGATGCTGGAGCGGCGGCAGCCATTCTGCAGCCCCGCAGAGACACGCTTGAGGACCGAATGGCAACGAGCAGAGCCTGGTGGGCCCCTGCTGGTGCTGAGCTGCCGGGTGGGCCAGCTCCCACCTTCTCGCCGCGTGAAGTCGCGGCGCGTTAGTGCTCCCGCCCCTTGCAGTTCATTCGGTGTGACGTTACAGAGAATCGAAGGCGTCTGAACGGACGCTCTTCGCGGCTGCCTCGGCCCGCCACGCTGCTTAGAGCGGTGCGCCGTGTGCCTGCCCGGCTGAGGCTGTCCGGGCAAGTTCCGAACACAGCCTCTTACTTGCCCCTGTGTCCCACCGCCTTGCGCGTTTGCTCAGAATATTTAATAAACTGTTCCTAATGATATTGCATAGGCACTTTCCTCGAGTATAAGATGAAACGATAACAGAGGCAAAATGAATCCAGGACATGTGTCCCAGGAACACGCCCAGAGGGCACAGAGCTCCTTCGGCCCGCCCTGAGCGCCAGCGCAGTGCGGTTCAGGGCGGCTCCGGGCGGCTCCGGCTGCTTCCGGGCGCTTCCGGGCGCTTCCGGCTGCTTCTGCGCGCTTCCGGGCGCTTCCGGCTGCTTCTGCGCGCTTCCGGGCGCTTCCGGGCGCTTCCGGCTGCTTCTGCGCGGGGAGGTGAGTCTCACAGGCGGCGAGCAGGGCCTGCTGCGGGGGGCTGGGGGCCAGGCGGCCGGCCCGGGCCTGTGTGAAGGGCGTCGGCTACCTCTTCAGGTACTGTAAGAGTTTTTCCAGCAGAGCTCTCTCATTGGAGGACTGTAAGTGAGCTTCTGAATCCCCAAACTGGGCGAAGGAAGGCAGTTGCAACAGCGCTGCTTTTAAGCGCCGACGTTAAGCGTCTCCCGAGGAGCCTGGCGATCCTGGCCCCCACACCCTGGGTAGCTTTCTGAATCTGGAGTCATCAGTGTGGTCCCGGGGCTCGTTTTCTGATCCCAAATCTAAATGGCAATGCTAGCAAGCAAGACGAGTCTCTAGGGCCTGGATGTGTGAAACACTTTCACTAAACCAAATGCAACCTTCATTGGTTGGCTTTCAAAGCATGATCTGAAGTTGCAGGGAGGCCTTTGTTTGATCCAAAACTTGCCCCCCTCTCCTGGAGCAGATCAGAGTACTTGCCTTCCTTGGGATGGATATCCTTGTCAGATGCAGGACTGAAATCTTGTCGGGATGGCTGTGTGGAAGGGAGTTTTCAAAAAAAGCAATTTGACTTATTTGTTTATTTTGTCTTCCTAAATGGATTTTTAAAGCAGTTAATATGATTAGTTTGAAGTTTATTAAGGAAAATTACAAATTCCTCTTCATTGAATGCGTAGACTCCCTTTAATAGAGTCTGATGCCAATTGGTTTTAGATTTTGCATTGAGTTCCAATAAACGTTGGTAGGAGCTGACATTTGAGCGGGGTACCCTCTCTGCACTCTAGGGGAGTGGGATTTTAATCGTCTGGCTCTCCTGTCTAGTGAGAGACAGAGATCCTGCCTGGACTTAAGGGGCTGTAAGGTCAGAGGCTGAGAGGGCCCCTTGGTGCTGGTGGCACCAACGTGGGGTACCCAGAGCCCAGGGGAAGGGGACTCAGCGTCCACCTGGAGTGCTGAGGGGAGGCGCCGAACAGGCGGATGGAAGTGTATCACCAGCTAGACGTGGGAGCTGGGGGTGACCCCAGCACATAAAACAAGAAAGCTCGTGTCTGCGGGAAGTGTGGGGAGGGGAAGTCATTGGAAGTTAGGCTGGAAATGTTTTTGTGTAATTTAAAGGCCCCTCCTACTCTGTATTTAGACTCTGAACCTACAGAAGAAAACGGAGATAGAGTGGTATCCATGTGCATATTGACTAGTGAGCACATCTAAGAAGCTGGAAGGAAAGAAGTATGAGTGCCGTTTTCAGGAAACCTTAACAATTGTCAATCATTGTGAAGAAAAAGAAATGTGTATCCAAATTAATTGTTTTCACTGTAGCCATGTGATGTTTGATCAAGACAGGTAGGAAATGTAAGTTTCTTGTGTGTGAGACCGTTGACTCCAGAACCCTGCAGTGGTCAGCAGCATCCCCTCTAGGCTTGGGCAGAGCAGCGGTCCAGGGGATCGCACTCACCAGCCCCTCCTGTTAGTCCACTGGCAGGGCCTTCAGGGCTGTCTCTATAAACTCGGGAGTGCTGTCACCCAGCTAAGAATCAAAGAACTAATGAGACACATTGTTAAAATACTCTGAGCTTTAAAAGGGTCTAGTAGTTTCAAGTTTAGTAGAACTTTGTCACATGCGGTTTTCTTGGGCCTGTGTCACTGAAATGTGATGAGGGTTTGTAAGTCAGTAAACCTGTGTAAGGTGAAGACTAGTCCATCTTATCCTGAGCCCCACCCTTTTGGAGATGAGAGGTGAGTGAGGTTCCAACAGTTGTGGCCCCAGTTCTTTCAGCTTCAACAATATGACCAAAGCAGAGCCCTTTGGGGACATTTCAGTTTAGAAGGGAACGCAAGGGGCCAAGGCCACAGGCACAAGTGCCTGGCCTTTAAAACTGCACCTGGCTTCATTAAAGTCTCCAGAAATAAACGGGGAAAATGAGCGCTTTTCAGTATTTAAAAAGAAAACTACCTATTTGAGCATCTGGTATCACAGAGCCAGGAGGCTGTAGGAGTTCCAGACTTGCCAAAGTTCCAAGTGGAAGGCAAGCCGTCTGTCTGGGGCCTGCGGAGTCTGGTGCTGCCATCTGTGGGGCTGTGACAGTCAGCTGCCTGACCACGCGTGCAAGGCTGCAGGGGCTCGGGGCAGCCAGCAGGTGATGTCAGGGGCAAGGGAAAAGAAAGCACTAAATGTTGAGTCCTTTTTCTCTTCCTTTTCAGAAGGTATGACCAAAAGTCAAATAAGATGATGATAAAAATAATTGCCAGCACTTAATGAGTGTTATGTGCCAGGTACCGTAAATCCATGGCATATTTAGGAATGCCTTACAGCCACTGTATAAAGGCTGTACTGTTATTATACCCATTTTACAGAAAAAGAAAGTGAAGGCTAGCGAAATGAAGTTCCAGTCTTGGTCTCTTGAGGATCTGAGAACTATAATCCACAGGCCAAAGCTAACCTACTGCCTGTTTGTACAAATAAAGTTTTAATGGAACACAGTCATACCATTTGTTACATACTGTTTATGGCTACTGTATGGCAGGGTTGAGTAGTTGTGACAGAGACCATATGGCCCACAAAGCTGAAAATATTTCCTAATGGTCCATAAGAGAAGAAAGTAGACTTTTTATCTATCTGACTGTAGAGTCCACTTGATGTAGAATCCCCACTTCAGTCAATGTTCAGAATATTCTAATCATAAAAGAATGGAAAACGTGGCAGAAGTGCAAGGCGGTCTAGACTAGGGAGCGTGATAATCTAGATTCTGGTCTTAATTCTGCAAAAAGTAACATTAGGTCCTTGGAAGAGTCACTCTTAACTCCTAAGAAATCTTTTTTTTCCCTGATCTGCTCATTAAAGCCACACTGCCAAGCTTCCAAATTGAAAGGTTCCCCAAACACTTTTTCTGGTTTACAAAAAGCTATTTTAACTGATCAAATAAAATGCATTTTTTACCAGTTCTCCATGGCAACACTCACAGCTCTCGCCAAATAACCTTTTGAAGTCCTATTTCTGCATGTTAGGGGTACGGCACCTTTGGGCAGAAAGATGTTTCAGAATGGGAATATAATACCTGTTTAACTTATTTTTGTTCTGTTTTTGTGAATGCCAGGGTTTCCTTCCACTGAAATTACCTGAGCCTGAAGCTTTCTCTGGGAAGACTGAAGGCTGAATGTGAAGAGTAACATAAAAATCCCCAACGGATTGTGTTTCAAGCTGCGAATCAGCACAGACAGCTCCTACACATTGTGGGCTTGCAATCAGGCGGGGACCTAGGGAACAAGAGAGTCTTCCATTGCAGGACGAAGATGAGAAATCATTTTAATCTCAGGGAGTCTTAGTCTTTGGCCATCTGTGGTAAAAATCAGTCCTGGTGTAGCTTTACCCTGAAAGATTAAGGGAAAGGATTGCTTAGGAAAAAACACAGGCTGCCTTGTGATAAGTGCCTGAGATCCTGCCTTATGCAAAGAGGATTTGATGAGAAGGTTGGCGATGGGACTTATATCTTGTTCCAATAATGCAGGGTTTTCCTGGTGGCTCAGCTGGTAAAAAATCCACCTGTGATGTGGGAGACCTGGGTGGGGAAGATCCCCTGGAGAAGGGCATGGCAGCCCACTCCAGCATTCTGGCCTGGAGAATCCCATGGACAGAGGAGCCTGGCGGGCTACAGTCCATGGGGGTTGCAAGAGTCAGACAAGACTAAGCGCACACTCGCACATCCAGTCTTCTGGCCTGGAGAGTTCCATGGACTGTATATCCTCGGGGTCGCAAAGAGTCAGACACGACTGAGTGACTTTCACTTTCCAGTAATGCATCATGGTCATTTGAAGCAAGGAATGTGTGAATCTGGTGATCCCCTCGTGACTCTTTTGTACTTAAAGTGTAAAGATTTGGAGTGGGAGTGGGAAGGAGATAATTAAATGTATATCTTTGAATTCGACCTCAGTCAAGTTTGAATCTGAAAGACACTCTATGTATATTTTATAAAGAGAAAGATGTCAGAACTTGATGCCCACTGTTTAGTAATGAACTTCCATTTGGCTAATATCAGCTGTAGCCCGTTACACCTCAAAGTAATAAAGCACTGCATCCACGGAGACTGATCTCTTCTGACAATACAGGCTTCTGTAGTGGGGTGAAGAGGGTGTGTGTAGGGGGGGAGGGGGTTGGTTCCCAAAAGATTTGTCCATGTCCGAACCCCTGGAGTCTGCTAATGTTACCTAAAGCGGGAAAAGGGTCTTTGAAGATGTAGTTAAACAACTCGAGATGAAGTGGATTATCTGGATGGGCCCTAAATCGAACGCAAATATACTTACAAGAGACAGAAGGGAAAACAGCCAGCAGGAAGCAAAGTGACGCGGAGTGGAGACGGCAGTGATGCGGCCCTAGGCTCAGGAGTGCTGAGGCTCCCGGAGGCCGGGAGTCCCGGGGGGTCCTCCTCAGATCCCCTAAGCAGCTCGACCCCGCTGACACCGATTTCAGACTTCGGCCTCGGCAGCCGTGAGACGATACGCTTCAGTTGTGTTAAGCACAGTTCCAGCACTTTGTTACAGAAGCCTCAGGAAAGGAATAGCGTATTCAAGACGCATCTCTCCGATCCATCCTCATCCAGCCTGTCTGGGAATGCCCACAGGGCTTCCCCGGTCTCCCCTGGGATCCTGCCGAGAAGAAAAGGCTGTGGGATTATGCTGATTGGTGGCAGACACGGGGCTTTGCCAAAAACAGAGGAGCACCAGACTTGACCGGAGCCCCTTCGGCATTTGATTCATTCTGTGGGAGTCCTCATCCACGGGCAGTGGAGAGAACAACTGGGAATAAAGACAGGAAAATGTGTGCAGTGATTTGCCATGATTCACCATAGAAGGTTACTGATCTATTTCCAATCAATTTAAGTAAATCTCGAGATGAAAGGGTGGGATACTTGTCAATAATAAACAATACGACTGATTTTTACTTCCCAGAAGCTTCATTTGTAAAGCACCTTTAATATGCAGGTTAATTTGCACTCTCTTGTCTCACGATGCCTCTGTGAAGCAGGTCAGATAGCTATGATTATGGATCTTTCAAAGCTGTGCATCTGAAAGCTGGAAAACTAATGAGGGCAGCCTGATTGAAAAATAATTTTTTCTGATCCAATGCCCTGCTCATTGGCTTACTTGCTAGGGATTGATTGGACTCAAAAGAGACTTGATAAATTCACAGCATATTTACCTGGCTGTGTCCCTGAATAAGACTAGGAAAAGAAGTTTCAGGAAAAATGGCGATTTGCCTTATCACATACCAAAACATACAGATGTAACATCTTATATAGAGTATGATAAGGGCTCCAATTCACATTGGTGGCAAAGAGTTAGATTATTCAATAAATAGCATGGTCTTTATTTAGCGGAAAATAAAATTGTATATCTGCCTCAAACACACACAAATAATTGTCAGGTTAAAGAGTTAATTGCAAAAATTAAGACAATACATATATTACAGAGGTCTATTTTCATCATTTAGGATTGAAGAAGGCATGTGTATACATGGTGAGAACTTGAGAATTGTAGACAACTAGACAAATCTGATTATACAAGTTAAAAATGGTGTGGCCAAGATGCCAGAAATAGTTGAAAGAAAAATAATATATAGTGGTAAATATTTGCAACATATGTTATTAATTAATATACTTGATGGCTCTGGAGCCTTAACTGTGGACCAGGCACTGTGGCTGGTGCTGAGGACTAAGCTCTGAATAAGATAAGAATAGACCATCCCTTGTAAAACGTGTGACTGTGTAAGCAAGGAGCCACACTGAACAGTTTAGAATATAATAAGCTTTGTAACAGTCAAGTCTGGATGCCCCGGGAAAACACGGTATGGAGGAGTATCGACAGACAAGAGTTAATATTTACAGCATGTAAATAACTCGTGGAAATCAATGAGAGAAACATTAAGATAGAAAAGTCAACAGATGCATACTGGAAATTCACAAATGGAGAATGGTTCACCAATAAATAAATAAATGTTTCACCAATAAATAAATAAATGGTTCACCAATAAATAAAGAATGTCTATCCTCAGGCATAATCAAGTATATGCAAACCAAAATTAGTTATGGTGCTTTATCAGATTATCAAAGAATGAAATGAGTTGTGATGAAAACTGCTAACAATAAGATGTAGAGAAATGGGAACTCTCACCTGTTTTGGTAGGAGTGTAAATTGCAGAAACTCTGATGATGCATATTAACACTCACAATTTAAAAACTGGTCTCTTTGTTCAACGTAGTATGAACCAAATGTTTGCATCTCCCCCAAATTTACAGTTGAAACTCTAACCCCAGTGTGATGATGTTGGGCATTTGAGAGGTAATTAGTATTAGATAGATCATGTGGTTGGGGCATCCATGATGGGATTAGTGCCCTTGGAAACAGACAGCAGAGAGCTTGCTTTTTCTCCCTCCACAGACACACACCATGAGGACACATTGTCTTATAGAGTATCACTCAGCAAATGATAGAGTGACTCCTTGCATAAAGACATGGCTATATGTCTTAAGATGTTTTGTTAAGTGAGAATTATAGTTCAATATATAACATGATTCGTTTCTGTAAATGATACATACATATGTAGGCATATACTCATAAAGTGCCACAGTGTGCCGAGTACTGTGCTATGCATTTGGCATAATTTGTCTCAAAAATAAATTTTGTTTACTCCATACAACATTCTCGTGTTTCAGTTCAGTTCAGTCACTCAGTGATGTCCAACTCTTTTCGACCCCAAAGAGGTTTAGGTAGTAATATTATCCCTATTTTACAGATAAATAAGGTCTAAGAGGTTAAATTGCCTAGCCACACAGCTAGTAAGTGGTAAAGCTGGAGTGTGAATTTATGCTCTGAATCACTACACGGTACATACATGTTCAAAAAGGACAAATGCCAAGTTATTATTTTAGATTAAAGATGAGAATCAGAATAGAAATATTAGGGCCTTTGAAGTGAAGTGAAGTCGCTCAGTCATGTCCGAATCTTTGTGACCCCATGGACTGTAGCCTACCAGGCTCCTCTGTCCATGGGATTTTCCAGGCAAGAATACTGGAGTGGGTTACCATTTCCTTCTCCAGGGGATCTTCCCAACCCAAGGATCAAACCCTGGTCTCCCGCATTGGAGGCAGACGCTTTAACCTCTGAGCCGCCAGGGAACCCCAATTAGGGCCTTTAGTATCTTGACTTTATTT